AGACGTGCAATCCCCGGCGAGGCATGTCTTGCTCACACGCACGCGCACACAAAAACACACACATCGTATCTTCGCAAGGGGTGGAATCGGGGTGTGCCGAGGGGTGTATCAATAGCTCGTTAAACGCGCGCGGCGCACCGCGGGGACTTATTCACTTACTTACTCCCGCGGCCACTTGAATAAGAAATTTATTTAAAGCGCCGCCCCTCGTGCGTGGTCGCATCGTCGAGGGCGCGTCACGAGGCTTAAAAGCCCCCGAGTGGCCGCGATGCACTTGTTGTTCCCGGGCGTCGTGCTCTGGCCGTGCGAATGATGCGAAAACTGGCGGGACGCAAGGGTTCCGGGCCTCCGGGAGGCGCTTTACACGCTCTCGTCGCCGCCGGCATCGCTTGCGCGGCTTTGTGACGACGCGGTGAATGATCGTGCGACTACGACGAGCTCTCTTGCATTCTCCAGCGAGCGCACTTGCTTAGCTGCCATTGGCTTTTAAGAGGGACGCACCTTCTGAAGCGGAGATTCACGTTACAAGCTCCGGTGCAATGTTTCCGACCGCGAGGGTGAATTTAAAGCTATTTAAATTCTTTTTATGTAACATTTTAAGTAACTCATTTGTCTTTCGTTTCTCCTTCCTTTTACGCAATTGATAGTACATCTATAAGTACGCTTGATGATGTTACAAGACGATGTGATGTTACTGCTTACGATTGTCTTACTGCATTCTCTAGTAGTTTAGGTTAATTATTATAATTTCGTAAATTAAGTTTCGTTATAAGCGCCCATGCACGTTGGAATATTGTTCAGCAAGAAATTATAAGTAAACGCGCACACGTATAAATTAATTTATTCTCAAATGTATTAGGAATGCCAAAGCTCACATTGTCAATCGCAAGCCACTGCTCCTTCTCGAGAATCTTTGAGAAAAAAATGCATTGGTCGTGAAGGCTTAAAATTTTTCAAACATCGCCTTCGCGAAATTAAACTAACTTTAATGTTTTTACACCAGCAATTATCTTATAAACTCTTCTTTTTTCTTTTTCTTTTTTTATTTCAACAAGCGCTAAAGTGACATTGGGGACATTCAACCTTTGACTCGCATGAACGTACGCTCGAAATGCGCGTGCGTGCGTGCGTACGAGTATTTTTCTCTAGGGGCCTTTTGTATACCAAAAGTATGAGCATGTCGCGTCTTCGTCCCACGGTGTTCCCACTACCGTATGCCTTTATCGGCGTATATACATGCATGCGCTTGCGACTATCCACGTGTACATAGATGCCTGCGTGAATGGTTTCGATTAAGAACGCGCGCGTATATTTTTTTCTTCTTCTTTTTATTTATTAAACAGAGTAGTTAATTCTTGTGGGAATAAATATACCGAAGAATGAAGTTTATGTTTGTACTCTGTTTTGAAATCGTTTTGGAATCGTTGATAACGAAAAATCACAAAATCTAAGGTCAAAGATAAATAACTATCTTATTTATTATTATATCTGATATAAGAATATTATCGAAGGAATTTTTTCAAAAAAAAAAAAAAATACAGTGATACTTTAGCTTTGACCCAAAAAATGAGATGAATTTTAGCGTAATTGTTGTAATTAAAGTATCGAAACATCAATTATACAAAACTTACCGCTATTTTCATCATTAAAATAAACGAATTATCTAAAATTGTAAAATTAACGATAACTGATTGAACGATAACTACTTTACAAAGAAAAATATTGAATTTTATAAAAAATTCTTTATTATATTTTTATCGCTCGTCTTCAAACGACAGGAATAACGTACAAATTAACACCAAATAAGCACAAGAGACTAAAATATTTACGACTTATGCGATCTGTATATCCTAAAAATAAACTAAATCCAATACTAATGGTGCATCATAATCGCTTCGTGACGTTCTTCAACTAAATGAAAGAGCCACATCCATTCAATTAAGGGGCAAAAGAGTTTGCCTCCCCAGTCACCGGCGGCCCCCTCCTCCTGCAAGAAAGGGGCTGAGAATTGAGAATTTAAACGGATCTTTGCTGTCGCGTCGAGAATAATTAGGCACATACACAGAATCCTACATCCATATACGTGATTATACGTGGGAAATTCTCGGATACGAAATCCCATATGTATTTCCGCGAATGACAAAAATCTGCTTATCACTTGGGTCCCCCGAATCCTTAGCCTTTTTTGTTCGAGGTTGTTTTCAAGGTTATTTTCTAAATAAATGTTTTAAAAATATATGTTTTAAAAATCTTCACGCACAAATTGATATTGGATTGAAAAATTATTTACCATTGTTAAGAACATCGCGTTTGAAAAAGTATATCGAATGAAATATATTATAATTGAATTTGATTTTTATTCGTTACACAATCGAGTAATTCGAACATTTTTTTATATGCAAGTATTTCAAAACTCTCAACTCGAACATTTAACGTTCATGTTTAAATTAATGCATTACAAACACTACATATTAACAACAAAGTGCCAATCTATATTATCATCTAAATATTTAATACAAATTGAACGATAATCAAGGACAATAAAGATTGCTTATTTATTAGCCTATAAATAGGCACTTTATAAAGTTTGTATTAAGCGTACAAATTAAGAAAAAATCGACGAATAAAGTTGTTAATCGAACGAAAGACCGACGACGAAGACTCGCACCATCGACGATTATTCATAAATCGAGGCGCATTGATGTTCGTACGGGGGAGGGGTTTGCACTTAATTTGCATGGGTGGGCGCGCATTCGGGGAACTTTTCACCCCCCCCCCCTCCCCGACCCACCCCGCGGCTATCCACTTCCCTCCGCTTCCCTCCCTGCCCAGATTAGTGTCATTTAAAACGAGATTGATCGTAACACCGCGTTTGTATACAGGTGCTCGATGTAATGCCACTGTAATGCCCCTCCCATTTGTAATAGGAGCGTAGTCTCCCCATAGATGATAATCATCGTTATGTCTATCGATTCGTATCAAATGAGCTTAAAAACGTATTTTGGCAGTGTCCAATGCAAGGAAATATCGTAATCTTGTCTGCGAACGTATGAGCAACATAATTTAATTTGCCATATCGCGATTACTTATTTAATCATAAATTAAACGATTAAATATTACGGAATTAATGAATTAATGGAGGTATTATAATATAAAATTTATTATAATTATAACGTATTTCTTGTATATTTCTTTTAAACTACAAATGACACTCGATTAAACGACCAACGTATTTATATTAAATCATTACACGTTTGTGCATTAAGATATTGATGGACGATAATAGCCTCGTCGGGGATGACTGGAGTATGTATAAAAGTCAATATAATCGATAAACGAACGAATTAATTAAAATCTTAATGTCAAAATACGTGTAACGAAGAAAGTGTTAGAGCGTAATCTCAAGCTTACATCACGGATGTAATACTAAAAGTTATTTATATGACAATTGTGAAAAGGCTGCGCACCTTAGCGACGTAAATTTGCGTTAATACATGCCGCCCATTTTGTGTACGAATAATCAGCAAGACATTATCGTACATGACACGACGGGACGCTTATAAAACCTGGCTGAGATTGATTTTGATGCGCGGAGAAAATTCGCATATAGTTATTGCATTATCAATTGTGAATTGACGTATTATCGTGCCTCTTTATATTGTAAATTGGAGGAACGAGCTGGCGGATCGTTTATTAATTCAAGTTTTATTAATTAAATTTTTGAAAATAATTAAATACGATTAAATGTCGTATGTTACTGGGCGAAAGCTGTGTTTACATTAAGATTACATCAGTGACATATTGAAAGAAATTTGCATGGCATTTTAATGTATATAATATTTCATATTCGCATAAGCTTTTAGCTGGGTGCCTACAACGCAACTCGCATTAATATCTTAAAATTAAGAGATAATTATTCACGGCGAATTAGCAAGTACAAATATTATTCAGCTTATAAATTGTATTGCGATTGATTATCTTATTTGAGAATGATTATTCGGTAGTAATTAATAATTTTCATACGATCAATCATATTTCTATGGCATTTTCACGAAACCCTTTGCTGTGTACGTGACACACATAAAGTACCAATTCACAAATATATTCTTTCATTTGCTGGGGCGTAGAAAGTGAAACTGATGGAAATTTCGTGCTTACAATTTCGATTCGTTGCGAAAAGTCAATAAGGCTATCGCGCACTGGCTAATATAAATATTAAGTCGACATTTAGGGGAAGGGCAACTCAACAACGGGGGTCGTTTCTTCATTTCCAATGGGAAAAATCATCGTGGTTTATACCACGCACTCGTAATGTTTCACCCTTGGCATGTTCTAAATCCCATATGTGCTTAGTAAGTAAGGACAACGTATATATGGTAATTCGCGAAAACGCTTTTACCCTCATCTTGGCACGTAGCGTTTATTGTCATAAACGCTCTCCATATGAGTAAAAAGCTTCGTGAAAATTAATTTATTCGAAATAGTTGGATTTATCTCATCTCTTATATTGTTGTTTACTTCAACATAATGAATTTGGATTGGAAGTCGGTTGTTCAAAAATTTTGTCAATGCCAACAAGTATATAAACGAATTGTCATAAATGTTATTATTATTAATCAATAATGCCATTATGGAGCATAATATCGAGAAGTATATTAAATACTTTTTAAGCCGATAATCTCGAATCCTTCAAGTCTTCGGTAACATCAAATTTCAAGCCCTTCGTAAAACAAAAAACAAAAAAACAAAAAAAAAAAGAAAACAAAAATGCCGAACGATTCCCTTTAATGCACAAAATATAATAAATTTTCAAAAGTATAATTTCGCAACTCGCATGCACATATTTAAAAGCGATGTGTGTTTTTTTTTTTTTTTTTTTTTTTTTTTTTTTTTTTGTAAGAGCACAGCAACTGCCAATGCGGTCGTGTTCAGTCTTATTCTAAACGAAGCTTAATACCGCAGAATCCAATTAACCGTTCTCTTCGTGATTTTTGTTACAGTGTCGCCAATTCGCCGCAGACGCTGATGATATCCCCGGGCAGATTAAGCGAGCAGGCCCTTCTCAAGCTCCTCGTCGAGCTCTCCCTCTCGATCCTGATTGTCCTGGGGCACTTTGCCAGCGAGTCACCGAGGACGCTGCCCTCCACCATTTCGGCGAAACCAGCTTGTGTGTTGGCCGCCTCGTACACCGCCGCTACATTGGTTTCGGTAAGCGGATGTTTTGTTTTATTTATTCTTCCCTGCTTCTTTTCTTGTTCTACTGTCTGTTCTAGCTCATTTTATTTTTTTTATTTTTTTACCTTAAAGATCCATCGCGCGATTTGGAGATGGAACGAAAGTTTTTCTATGCTTATTTGTGACGCTAATGATGCGCTAATTAATTAACTCGTTGGAAATGTATCTTTCAACGTGATTTTTCAACTTTCTTATCTAACTTTTCCAATGTTGCCACAAATAGTGTACAGCTTGAAAATGTTAGTCAGTTAATTGGGTCAATGTAGGCTATTTCCCAAATTAAAGGTCACGTTATTCAGAGTCTTAGATCATCTTACCGAATGTAATTGTTTTTTAAATAAAAATCTTATAGTTAATGTTCATAAAGCCTATTAAAAAAAAAAAAGTTCACACATACACGCGCGCATTCACACGTTTAGGCACGTTTATTAATGCTTGAAACTCGTATGATTTGACTTTACGTAAATTAACCGTTAGAATATATCATAATTAATGGATAAAACTAATCAACAAGCCAACTTTATCTCTCTTATTTTTACTCTGCTTGTTTCTGAAGTACATTCGTTATAATTGTTAAAATGCCATGACATGCACGTCTATTCCTTTGAATGTGTTGTTTTATTAAATAATAACGAGGCGATCGATCGTTTCGAATAATGAAAGTGACAGAAGGCTGGAAAAAAATTGGACACGCGTAATACGAGAGGGAATTTAAATTACATTCAAAACAAGCATTTTTACTTCGAAGGACAAGTTAATAAAATTTTAAAAAATTCCACTTGCGAGGGAGTAAAGAACGGCACGTCGCAACACTTCCCGGGAGATTTCGTTTCCTTTACGGCTTGGACGTGCGTATGGGCGCACGTTTGCGTGTTCCAAAGTGAAAGAGGGCAGGGCACCTGTGAGGGTCCAGTTCTCTGCTTTTCTCCTGGGCCACCTGCCACGCTCATCGTCCCTACAATACGTCCGGGAGCTGTGACGAACGAGAGAGAGAGAGAGAGAGAGAGAGAGAGAGAGAGAACAATAAAATAATCTTATAAAACGAACGCATTGAGAATTTAAAAGCACATCCGGTCTCTGTCTCCTGTTCGTTTCCTCCCGTTGCTCGGCTCGATGAAAGAGCAAAACAAGTTCGAGCGAGTAGTTAAAGATTCATATTAATACGTACTTTATTGCTTATACAAAAAATGAGAAATTGCCGGTACGCTGAAAAGATTATAGATATCTTCGTGGAAAAGGGCGCCTTTGAGCATTTTTTATCAAGCAACTATTGTGATCAATCTTTTATTGAAATTTTGAAAATCTGTAATCTTTGACGTGTAATATTATACTTTAACGTTCATTTACTGGTAAAGTAAATATTATAATATAAGCTATTGAATAATTCTGCATAAGTCGACCAAGGAAATTACCGCTTCTTTAAGCTTCTCACTTGTTTTGATAAAAAAACACGCTTACCCAACTCGTACTAAAATCGCTTCATTTTATCTACCTCCGTGAATCCATTTTTAAAATCATTTCTAATGGCTTTTTAATTTGTATTACAGAGTCCATTTTTGAATCCGGCACGTGCTCTCGGACCGGCCTTCGTTATGAACAAGTGGGACAACCACTGGGTATACTGGATTGGGCCGATCGCCGGTGGTGCGATCGCCGCCCTGCTTTATGAATACGTCCTAAGTGGCAACCGCCGTTCGCACGATCCTCGCGATCTGGACGACGGTGATAGCTCGTCTATACGTTCCGACGACGAGACGTACGACGATCTGGATAAAACCGGAGCCCCCAAGTTTCCGGGTGCTTATGCAACCTATCGGCCGGTGACAGGAGCTGCGTCCATCTATGGTCCACCCCCGAGCACACTCGAGAGAGTCGAGTCCATTTACGGCGGCACCAAGTCCCTCTATTGCAAAAGCCCACCTCTAACTAGAGCGAACCTTAACAGATCGCAGAGCGTATACGCCAAGTCAACATCAGGCACTAGAGATGGCCTAATCCTACCTAAGTCGGGAACACTCCTCCCAGCCCAGAGCCTCTATCCAATAAGACTAAATACCGTAAATACTCAGACGAGTGTCAGGGACGCAGGCCAAAACGGCTTGCAACAGACAAGCTCCCAATCAGGACAGCAAACGACACAGAATCACAATAGCACCAACCAGAACATGCAGAATCAACTGCAACAGTGCACGCAAAACATCTATGGTATTCGTGGCATTACCACTAGTATCGGTACTCGCGACAATATCTACGGGCATCTGGGAAATCGCGAGAGCGGTAGTATCTCCACAAGTCCGAATATTTATGCTCGAGCACCCATACCTCCACCCTCGAGTAGTCACCACGTCCCTCAAAGCCAGCAGCAACAGCAGCAGCAACAGCAGCAGCAGCAGCAGCAGCAGCAGCAGCAGCAGCAGCAGCAGCAGCAGCAGCAGCAGCAGCAGCAGCAGCAGCAGCAGCAGCAGCAGCAGCAGCAGCAGCAGCAGCAGCAGCAGCAGCAGCAGCAGCAGCAGCAGCAGCAGCAGCAGCAGCAGCAGCAGCAGCAGCAGCAGCAGCAGCAGCAGCAGCAGCAGCAGCAGCAGCAGCAGCAGCAGCAGCAGCAGCAGCAGCAGCAGCAGCAGCAGCAGCAGCAGCAGCAGCAGCAGCAGCAGCAGCAGCAGCAGCAGCAGCAGCAGCAGCAGCAGCAGCAGCAGCAGCAGCAGCAGCAGCAGCAGCAGCAGCAGCAGCAGCAGCAGCAGCAGCAGCAGCAGCAGCAGCAGCAGCAGCAGCAGCAGCAGCAGCAGCAGCAGCAGCAGCAGCAGCAGCAGCAGCAGCAGCAGCAGCAGCAGCAGCAGCAGCAGCAGCAGCAGCAGCAGCAGCAGCAGCAGCAGCAGCAGCAGCAGCAGCAGCAGCAGCAGCAGCAGCAGCAGCAGCAGCAGCAGCAGCATTTCCTAGTGCATAAAGAAATTCATTGCATCAACCACGAGTGGTCGTAGGTAGGCTAATGGTTAGCGCTAACGATCGTGTTTAACATGCTTAAGAGATGAGTTGAGGCTTCGCTCGCGATCTAGTTGATCATTACACTACTACGCTAATATTACGATCATTACTCATTACACGACACTGTTGCATTTAATATCGCTAATTTGGCGCAGGAATACTTATTTGGCGGCATTAATTTATGCGATGGCTCGAATTTGGTGCTTCGGACAGGATTTGACAAATGCAAGAAACGCCATGATCAATGGTGTCCGAAATAATTCTATTTATTAGTAGGACGTAAAACCCAGTGTATAGTAAAAAAACTGTAATTACATAAATGTTGATTTTTAGAGGTAATGGCGGCATTACTATTATATTTAGTAATTTTATTCAACGACTTTACGTTTGGGTTTCGATTTGGGTTTGGGTTTTTACTCAAATTAAGGATGAAAATAAAAAGCCAGTGGTCATGCCTAGAATAACGCGTTCTTTTTCTCTCGCGACAATATAAATTGCCTTTTTCATATACAGATATTTTTTTAGTAAGCCATAAGAAATTAAGATTACGTATTTTGTTAAAGATAGACAATTATCTATTACTCGGTATAGATTACGAAATTGTAATACATATGAATAACTATCGAGAACAAATTTTTCTTTCCTTTAAAATTAAGTGTTTCATAATTGATATTTAAAAAATTTAGAATATCTAATTGTACGATAACGATAATAATTTTGAAAATTATTTATTTTTATAATTTATAATTCCTTTAACTACGAATTCAATCTAAAAATTACTTATTATATATTAATGACTAGTTTTAAACAAACTACAGAATACGAATCTTGTATTTAAATTTATTTGTACGTAACATCATTAGATGTTTGAGAATTTGTAAATGAAATGAATATTTGATCATATTTACAATTATGTACGTATGATTATAAAATATTTACGAGTGATTGTATTTTTTGTTAAAATTATTGAATTAATCAAATGAGATAGATAGATATTTTTATTATTAGCTGATTATTTTAAGATAACGTGTGGGATGTGTGCGGCGCGTATATATATATATATATATATACAAATTATCTTAAATTAAGAGTGATTAATTGTTAAGAAATTGTGTACAGTTATAATAAAACAAATACATTTTTTTTTTTTTTTTTTTTTTTTTTTTTTTTTTTTATAAGTTGTATAAATAAAAAATTAATTTTAAATTTATTACCTCTTTCTGTTTTTGGGGTTTCATCCCATCTATTCCTACGACTAGAAACAACCTTTTCATGTGGTGTTTCTCTACCAGGAGTAGCGGCACCTGGGGTTGCATGGCCAGGTGCACAAATTATTTTCCTAATTCAGAATTTTCTTCATTTATTATACTAATGTTTATAATAATTTATAACAAAGTATTAACTTAAAATTACAGCCTAATGTACCAAGAATTATTTATCATAGTTTAATAAAAAATATTATTATTGATTGTGTACGCTCGAAATCGAACTAATTATAATTAATTCGTATTTGTCAATGAAAATGATAAATGTTATTGAAGATAGTAGTATATAAAAATTACATTAATATAATATTAAAAGACTAAAGAGTTAGGGACTTGTAAATATATATATGTATCGACAAATATATTTATTATTTTATATTTTTAATAGTTTTTAAATTTATGTTTTACATGCCTGTGTGCATGCAAATATTAAGACAATAAAAAAGTAGTTATAAAGCATTAAAATGATATTTAATTTTTATCATCACTCCGTCCATCATTTTATTATTATACGATATAATATACAATAGATATTTCCATATAATAGATTATATTTATTAAGTCAGTGATCGAAAATTATGTGTTGGAAATATTATAATTATAATGATATGATTCTGTTTTGTCACCATTAATATTTACAATTAAGTTTGATACAATTGAATAAAGAAAACTTGAAACTTTCATTCATATGCAAAGATGATAAAAAATATTTTTCAACTTGACGTCATTAATGCAAATGAGTCGTGTAACTAAAGATGCGTACACGCCAAAAATGCGCACGTTTAATTATAAAACAATTTAAGCAGCATTAATTTTTCGATAAATCGTATATTTACTTATTTCATGGAAGTTAATAATAATAAACTTTTTGGAAAATTGAAGAAAATTTACATCAGCGCCATCTCCTAGTTACCCATCGAAGTTTTCGCCAGTTGGATGGTTTTTAGCTCACTCGATAACAAATATTTATTTTTCATTATAAATAATAATTGTAAAAAGAACTTGTAAATGCATTTAGTTTTAATTTTAATAATCTTATAATACAATAATTGAGCGAACATTATTAATAATTGAGCAATTTAGACATCATTAAAAATATTTCTTTGTATTAACAATGACAGTTAGAAATGCATGAAGTTTATAAGTAGTGGACATATATTTGTTGTCTTTTCATCATGTAGAATAAATAATCGTTATTCTTTTATGTTATTTGTCCATTTTAACTGGTATATTAATGGCTAAATCTTAACTTCTTTCATATTTAATTCACATTTTCTTTTAGTCTTATTTATCAAAGATGTACGCCATTGGAAATTTATAATATTATTACTTCCCTACAAAAAAGTAGCTATTTAATCATTTGTATTTTATTTACTAAAATCACTAATTTGATATTTCACATATATAACAGTATGTTTATTTGTTTATATGGTCTAATTCGACATCAACGCTGGTCTGTTATAATAATGTAATATCTTATTATGAGCCGTTATTTACAAATTGTAAGAATTCAGATTTATATTATTATATGTGAAACGAATACAAAACGACAACTTTGCCATAATATCAGGTAATAAATAAATTCAATTATTGTAACTTTAGGTCCTTTCATAAATGTTGAAACACTAATAGCAAATTTGAGAAACATTGAAATTATTGTATATTGTTTTATTATCAGTGGAATTCATTTTCAGGCATAAATAAATGGAAGATTATCGTACTCTGTACAAGTTCAAAAATTACAAGAGTTAGCGAATCAAATAGATTAAAATAGCCTAAGCGTGTATGCGACTAAAAGTGAAAAAATAAAATAATAAAAGACCCTTAAGCGGATCAAACGTGCAAGATCGACAGATAGAGTATTAATTATTTCTGATGGTTATAAAGCAAAATAAGAAAAATTAATTTTATAAAATAATGTATTATTTGTAAATAACTTGTCAATGAAAAGTGCACAAAGAATAACAAATTATAATCTATTGAAAAGCATTATTAACATTATTCGAATATTACATTTCGTTTTAACGATAATTAATTAGAACGTTATCTTTGTCATGATATAACGGTTTCTTCATAATACAATGCTTCAATTGTAATACATGATAATAATAACGAGGCAATTGTCATATGAAATATTAAATAAATTCAAGGTGAGTTATGATTAAGCGTTATATTTTATATCAATTAAACGAGTCGAATAAAAAGTAAATTACTATTATTTTACACTACAATATAGCAGTTATATAATGTCTCTGACTATCTACAATTGTATAAACTAAATTGAAATTAATTCAATGAAAGGTGTAATTAACAAGAAATTTTGGAAAGTGAAACATGATTCAGACTTTTGGCACTTGGTGGAGCAAAGGGAAATGTTATATGTAGCATACGTATATAAGTTAAAGTTATAAATGGTTTGGCTTCTACAAGATATTATCTTGAAAAAAGCTCCCTTTACTGTGATTATTCGTCTAAGGAACAATTTATTTTACTTTTATTTTACTTTTAAAATAAATATGCTTTGAAAATTATTTTGAAAACACACCGTAAATTACGATCGAAGCATCATAAGATAATTCGTGATTTTTCATGCTCATGTACGTTTATCTTATCGCAACATTGGCGACTATTAAGTTTACAAATCTTCGTTTATTCAACATCATGGATGTAAATTCGAAAATTATAGTAACCGTAGTTTTTGTCGACCAAGCACTGTTCTATTGGTTTAATAATATTCCTATACTTTGTTTCATATTGTAAATTGTTGATTGTTCCATAACCGCTTATCGTTGATATTACAGATGTTACAACATCTGATTAGTTGATAGTGCTATACATTAAGTTTCGTGCATCGTACGTTCATGTTATCAATTACAAAAGTGCTCGATACTGTCAGCGGGCACTGCTAACTAACATAACACGGCTACACTCTAAACTCTGCTATTTCTGTAATCACCTTTTTAACGTTGAGTTGCTTCTCTCTTTTTCTCTTTGCCGACCATTCCCTCCCTCTTTCCTTCCCTCGTTCTCCTTTAAATATGCTTATGCATACGCGTAGTCGTACTTTGCTTGCGCATATGTAGTTTATGCCGTGGCATGCAAGAGAGAACCGGAAATCCGCCGTTCATATCATGCCTATACACCCTCTCTTTTCATACACGTACGTGTAAATATAGCCGCGCACACATAATCACGAATTCACCCATGTGTGCATGCATATATATATATATATATATATATATATATATGCATATGGACACGCAAGCAAACGCATGTGTTATATGTAACTACTACATGGCTCTCTCTCTCTCTCTCTCTCTCTCTCTCACTCAGTCTTTTTATCTCATTTCTCCTCTCTTTCAATCTCATTCGCTCTCTCGTTCTCTCTTTCACTCTCTCGTATTTACGCATTTTCATCCACGCTGCATCTTTTCTCTTAGTTCGTTCTCAATTCTCGCGCGATGAGAGGAGCGAGAGAGAGAGAGAGAGAGAAGCAGGGGGCGAGTGGGACGGAGATATATATATATATAAAAAAAATGAGATAAAGAGATAAAGAGATAAAGAGAAAGAGAGAGAGAGAGAGAGAGAGAGAACGGGAGGGGGGATAGAATGAGTGAGAGAGTGAATGAGAAGTAAAAAACATTACGACGACGTCGCCGTCGTCTATACGATCGCTACGCGTATATCTTTCTTCGACGTAGGCGACGACGGAAGAAAAACTACACTACACTAGAGGGAGAGAGAGAGAGAAAGATAGTGAGATTGGATGAACGAGGATGAGAGAGGGTCAGAGAAGGGGGGAGAGACAGAGACAGACAGAGAGAGAGAGAGAGAGAGAGAGCGAGAGAGAGAGAGAGAGACAGAGAGAGACAGAGAGAGCGAGCGCGTGCGATAAATCGCCTCTTTTTTTTTTATAAAATCGTCGAGTGCTGTTTTGTATCAGTGGTGTGCGCGGAGAGCGCGAAGAAACAGGAGAAGAGATAATCGCAGTAAAAATTACTTTCCGAGAAGATGAGCGTCGACGCGTACGGCCCTAGTAGCCAGACGTTGACGTTCCTGGATACGGAGGAGGCGGACCTTATCGGTGCCGACACCCAGGGTAGTGAATTCGACTTTACGGATTTCACGCTGCCTTCGCCGAGTCAGACTCAAGCTTCGCAGCACGACGCGGCGCAGAATAGTCAGCAGAGTCAGCCCGTGCAGGTTAACGAGTTCCATCATTTTTCCCACCTTCTTTCCTCCTTTGTCTCGAGACTCCTTGCTTTTTGGATAAAATGTGTAGAAACGATTTTGTTATGAACCTCAGATATAACCCTTGATGAAAGGGTTACAACAACGTGACCTTGAAATTCTGCATGGAATTGGGAGAATCTTTTCCTTGTATTAATGGTTCCCGGTCGATTCTAACCTCAATATGTGGTCATTTTTAGACTCCTAGCTCATTTATTTACATAATTTCATTCTATCTTACATTCATATCTTCTCATATGAAATTTTATGTAGATTATCAAATATTTTAGGAGATTCATTGATGTAATAAAATTTTGGAAGCTATGGTTTTGACAATTGCTTTTCAATAGTTTCATTACTCGGTACGTACTAAGCAACTTAGTGCAAATGCTTAGGATCTAAATTGAAAAATTTTATTTAAGTAAAGAAGTTGTATTTAAGAAAGTAAAAATTAATTAATTAATAAGTAAAGTTATGTAATGATAACCATAAAATAAAATTTTATATTTAAAGTACAACATTTTTGTTGCATGAGAATTTAATATTTATTTGAAAAACTTTAGTCGAAACTTATTGTAACAGTTGATTGATAAATCATAATTGATTATGTACATAATGACAAACAGATATTGATAAATTTTGTAATTATTCATAATAAGTGTCGCACTGCCAATTTTGTAATTGATCGTTAGAAATAATTATTTAGAAGTTTAATTTTTAACAAATAAGTTGATTTTTATTAATCTTCGGTTAATGATTCAGAGTTATAATACTCTTTTGTATACTATTCATTTTCGTCACATCGTGTATAAATTGGTTTAGCAAAAATATTTAAATAATTAAATATATAGCTTTATTGGTATATATAATTATCAGACATCATTTTTATCTTAATAAATATTACTATAGATGTTTTTAAATTAATTATGTTCTCATTTAAACGTTAAGTTTTTAATTCTCAATATTTGACAAAAACATAGTATTAGGAGTAAGGTAGCGAATGACCTTGCCATAAAAGAAATGCAATAAAATATATTTATGGACTAAAATATTGTTTAAATTTTAAACATACATTAATAATTGGATAATTCAATTATGTGATCATTATAATTTTTAGACTTTTATATTAATATATACAAAGATAATTAATATATAAACTATAACCAAAGTTATTATAAATTTCTTTAACCAATATTAATACTTAAATTTTCTATTATAATAAGCTTATTATTTTCTTGAATTTACTGTCATTTACTACTTTTCAAGCTTAGATTTTTCAACGATAGAATATATATGCTCGATAATCATTCTTTGCATCGTTAATATTCATTAATTTTCATTAATTTTATAATATTAAATAATTTATAACACAAATATTATAAAAGTAATTATTATTTTTTGACTAAAATTTTTACTTATGCTTTATAATATAATATGTGGTATTCGATAGATACAAAGTTTATAATTTTATTTGGCAATCGATATTAAGTATTATAAGATTATTCCTATTAAATTTATATTTATTTAGTATACAGCTAAGATCTTAAAAAATTTTAAAGTCAATTTAAAAAATATACATAAAGTATAAAAGAACATAAAAAGTTGAGCATTTATTTCTATGTTTATCGTATTAAACTGATTTATTTTTCTGTCAAACATAAAAACTAGTAAAATAAAAGTAATAAAATTTTAGGTTAGATTCGTATATTCTTTTTATAATTTGAAAAATTAATCAATTCATTTATTAATAATAAGTACTTATCTTTTAAAAAAAGCATTAAAAAAATTAATAGTATTATAATAATATTATGCGTTTCAATGAGCAATGAATATTGTATTAGATAAAATATATGTAATAAACAGAATAAAATATATAAATTATTTATACAATGATCGATATATTACTGAATGTAGTATTAAAAATAGTATTTATACAAAAATTTGCTTCATTTTTTAACAATGATATTTCATTTTTCAAATCCATATGTTTGACTTTGTACTTTACTTAAATTCAAAGTATTTACTGATAATTTTTATTACAAAAAAGAATAAATTGTTTTTACTTACGATACTTAAATTTTTAAAACATGTCATAAATCTATTTTAGTATTTCTTACATTGATTATTCATATTGTTTTTGAAGTCTATTCTAAATTATAAAAAATGTATTTATTTTTTATAAATTTTTTTAATAAATTTTCATTCATTTAAAAAAATTCCTTAATAAATTACACTGTAAATTTTAATCAATAATTTTGATGCTATAGATTAATGGAACTGTTGGTACATCAGCATTAGATCTGAACATTTCTGGAGCAGCTCAAAGCTTAGCTGAGCTTCAGTTTGAAGAAGAAGAAGAAGAAGCTTATTACAATCGTGATTTACCAGATCATGCTTGTAAATATTGTGGTATTCATGAGGCATCTTGTGTTATTATGTGTAATGTTTGTCGTAAATGGTTTTGTAATGGACGAGGCAATACATCTGGATCTCACATCATCAATCACTTAGTACGGGCTAATCATAAGGAAGTTACATTGCACAGGTCTTTATTCAAATAAATTCTAATTAAATTTCAATACTGTAGTGCATTTATCTATTCGTTATTTAAAAATTTCATCTATTTTCAATTAAATTTAAAGTATTTTATTAAATTATATGTATATTTACTTTTATTCTTATTAAAACATACTAAATTTAACAATATAAAATCTTATTAAATATACTATAAAACCGAGAACAATATCACAAATTATATAATTGACTATTTAAAATATATTTATGTAATTTTATATAGCTAGATTTAAATATTTTTAATTGTTTAACTTTAATTACATATTGTAATCAGAGATGGACCACTGGGTGAAACCATATTAGAATGCTATTCATGTGCACTAAGGAACGTTTTTGTACTTGGATTTATACCAGCAAAAGCTGATTCTGTTGTTGTACTCTTATGTCGTCAACCGTGTGCTGCACAAAGCTCTTTAAAAGATATGAATTGGTAATTATCATTATACAATAAGTAGAAAGTTCATTGAAATAAATATTTATAAAGGTATTTCTTTTTTTTTTTTTAAATCTTAATAAGAAATGTGTGTTAATTTAACAATAACAGAAATTTTACGTAATCATGGATTGTGAAATATATATAATTATTATAAGCTGTATATTATGAAGATTAAAAAAAATATATATTATTAAAGATTAATAGATTTTCAACGTAGGAAGATATTTTGTTTTTAATCATTTTGAAAACATTAAAATATTTAAAATATTTAGGGATCAAGAGCAATGGAAACCTCTTATAGAAGATCGTAGTTTTCTTTCGTGGTTAGTGAAAATACCATCAGAACAAGAACAACTTCGTGCGCGTCAGATTTCAGCCCAACAAATAAACAAACTTGAAGAACTGTGGCGTGATAATATCAATGCAACTTTTCAAGATCTTGAGAAACCTGGCGTGGATGAAGAACCTCAACAAGTTCTTTTACGTTATGAAGATGGCTATCAATATCAAAACATCTTTGGTCCACTGGTATGTGCAAAATATGAAATGCAACTAACGACAGAATTTGTAACTAATGACAAATATTGCATTTTATTGAAGAAGTTGAGCTATTTAAAAAAATAATATTTTCGTTTAATAACGATTATAAATAAAGTAATAGGTTAGGTGCGCTATCATGTGATCATGAGATAATATTTGATTTTAAAATATGTGTGATACTACATTTTGTGTTTAAATCCAATTGTAAAATTTAATGCATTTATAAATTTTCGATTAATAATGTTTATAATACTATAAACTACATTAATGTAAAAACGCATATTATTTAAGTACATTATTTAATTCACAGAAATATTTGAAAATATTTATACTAACATTATTAAAATCTTTTATTTAAAAAAATCTTAATTATATGTATTAAGAAGTTTTAATATTAAGTTATATTATTTAAGTTTAAGCATACATAGAAGATTTTGAAATTATTCGATTATTTTTAAATTCATAATTGTTTGAAAATATGTTTTTTAAAGGTTAGTTGACATTTATTTATAATTTTCTTCATAAAGTATTTTTTTCCAATTGTTAGTTTGAAAAAATATTTATGAATTAATTTAAAATTTTTTGTTTATTAATATCAGTTTTAATATAAAATTAAATTTTGAAGAAAATTTTCACTATATATAAAAGTACATTAGTAAAAAGCAAATATTTTGTATTCAAATACTTTTATTATTTTGCAGGTAAAACTCGAAGCAGATTATGATAAACGAATGAAAGAATCACAGACACAAGAAAATATTGAAGTTCGATGGGACGTAGGTTTGAATAAGAAAACCATTGCATATTTTTTGCTAGCAAAGACCGATGGAGATATGAAATTGATGCACGGTGACGAATTAAAATTGAAGTACTTAGGAGAATTACATAAGCCATGGTCAGGCGTTGGGCATGTTATAAAAATTCCCGATAATTATGGAGAAGAAGTGGGAATTGAGTTAAAAAACAACTCTGGTGCTCCGACCGATTCAAGCAGTTTTGTAGTTGATTTTATCTGGAAAAGTACCAGCTTTGATCGGTTGGTATTTTTTGAATTTTATATAAATTTAAAAGTATTGCCGCGTATCGTATATGTGTATCGATTATATCGACAATATAATATTTTAAGAATTAATATTTAAGAATATGAATGTAAAAAAGAATAAATAATATTTTGTAAAATAATACAATATCATAGTATAATTGTTAAGTTACAAAAGTTACAGCTTTTTAAATCTATATTACGGAATGTTTTCATTTTTATTAAACGAACATCCATAAATAATTATTATTTGTTAAAGTATATTTTAATAAGAACGCATATATTTGTTGATGTATTTAATTGCTCACTGTGAATTTCAATGACTTAAACAATGTTATTTTTAGTATGCAATTGGCATTGAGAAAATTCGCTGTGGATGGCAACTCAGTCTCTGCCTACATTTATCATCGTCTTCTTGGTCACGAAGTAGAGGAAGTTCTTTTTCGTTGCCATCTTCCGAAACATTTCAGTGCTCCCAATCTGCCAGATCTTAACCGATCCCAAGTTTATGCGGTAAAGCACGCGATCCAGCGCCCGTTGTCATTGATTCAGGGTCCACCAGGAACCGGCAAAACTGTAACTAGTGCTACAATCGTCTATCAATTAGTTAAGCAAAATGGTGGTCCTGTTTTGGTGTGCGCACCTTCTAACACAGCTGTTGATCAGTTGACAGAAAAGATTCATAAGAGCAATCTTAAGGTCGTGAGACTTTGCGCGAAATCAAGAGAAGCAATTGATTCACCTGTCAGTTTTCTTGCACTGCATAATCAGATCAATAATCTAGAAACAAATTTGGAATTGCAAAAGTTGCAACAGTTAAAAGATGAAACTGGTGAATTGTCAAGTGTGGACGAGAAACGTTACAGGTTTGCAACTTTTTTAGATATATATATATATATATATATACATATTTATCATATAAAATTTATCATTTGTTATATAATATATAATATATCAGCTACATTAAATATAGTAACAAAAGCATGTACAAATTAGAAAAATTATTAATCCTTTTAATTTCAAATAAAGCTTTATCTAATTATGAAAATAGAAGGAAAAAAAAACGATGGAGATATCGATCACTATAATGAGTTTGAAAATTTGCAGATTACTTAAAAAGGGTTCTGAGAAAGAATTGCTCGAAGCAGCTGATGTGATATGCTGTACTTGCGTGGGAGCGGGCGATCCACGACTGCACCGTCTGAAGTTCCATTCGATCCTTATCGACGAGAGCATGCAAGCTACCGAGCCAGAATGCATGGTACCGGTAGTATTGGGTGCCAAGCAACTTATCCTCGTAGGTGATCACTGCCAGCTTGGACCTGTTGTCATGTGTAAAAAGGCTGCACGCGCTGGTCTGTCGCAGTCTCTTTTTGAGCGATTGGTTGTCCTTGGTATCAGGCCTTTTAGGCTAGAAGTTCAGTATCGCATGCATCCTGATCTATCAAAGTACGCGTCAACAAGTTATTGTTACTAATAATAATCAATTTTATTAAAGCAAACAGTTTGTTTGTAGTAATTAATTTGTTAATCAGATTTGCATTGTAAAGATTTAAAAAGCATTATTATCTTAAGCAAATATATTTTTAATTTTTAAGTTTTTCATCATTTTTCTTTTGACGATTCAAGTTCATGAAACTCTCAGACCTTGATATTATTTTATTTGAAGTATAAATTTTGCGTCAAATATATTTGTTGGAGTTTAACATAATAAGTGCTCGAGAGTGACAATAATGCAATGTTAGCAACGCTTTCAATGAACCGAATTTGCAGGTTCCCATCCAATTTCTTTTATGAAGGCTCTTTGCAAAATGGCGTTTGTGCCGATGAGCGAAAACTTTTGAAGATCGATTTCCCATGGCCTGCGCTCGATAAACCCATGTTCTTTTATGTGACTCAAGGACAAGAGGAGATAGCCGGTAGTGGTACATCCTATCTGAACAGAACCGAGGCATCGAACGTCGAGAAGATTACAACGCGCTTCTTGCGTTGCGGTGTTAAACCAGAACAGATTGGCGTCATCACACCGTACGAAGGACAACGTGCTTTTCTTGTCCAATACATGCAGTATCAGGGATCGTTGCATTCAAAATTGTACCAGGAAATCGAAGTGGCAAGTGTTGATGCTTTCCAAGGCCGAGAGAAAGATATCATTATTATGTCGTGCGTGAGGTCAAACGAACACCAAGGAATAGGTTTGTGCGAAACTTCATTATCATAATTAATTTTACAAATTGAGTTGCTATCCTTCCTGCATATTATTTTTAATCGGTGTATCATGCAAATATAAGCACATTAATAGAGTTTACATATGCGGATTATTTATTGTAGATGTATATTAAATTATCCGGATATCAATTTTAATAAGCAAATGAATTAAACGATTACTAATTTATTCTTAAAGGTTTCTTGAATGATCCAAGGAGATTGAACGTTGCCCTTACAAGAGCCAAATATGGGATAATAATAGTAGGAAATCCAAAAGTCCTATCAAAGCAGCCCCTGTGGAATCATTTATTGAGTTTTTACAAGGAACAAAAGGTGCTGGTAGAAGGCCCATTGAATAATTTAAAGGAATCCATGATACAATTTGCAAAGCCAAAGAAACTCGTGAATGCAGCAAATCCTGGATCACATTTTATGTCTACGTCGATGTATGACGCAAGAGAGGCTATGATTCCTGGATCCGTTTATGATAGGTGAGTCTTTAATTTCTTCATCGTGTATAGATATTTTTTCCCGTATTTTCCTTTATATTTATCATATATCCCAATAATAAAATATGCCCGATACATATTTTCCTGTAAATGCGTATTTTCTTTCTTAATATTCCAAAATTTTACCAACAATATATCTGAATCCAACTGCACTTTATCGGAAAGGTTTAAAATAAAAAAATAAAAAGTTCATATTTATATTTTAGAAAATGACTTTTGCGTAGAAAAGTGATAAAAAATTGATCTAAAGGAACTTCACATTTCATGTAGAAAAATATTTAGATTTTCTTTTTTTTAACAATAAAGGAATCGAACTGTTTACATAAACTTTTCTGCAATAATAAACATCACGATAAATTCTAATAATCAATTATAATTTTACGAAAAAATTTTTTGTTTTAACGACTTAGTCATTATTGTATTAAACATGTTGACTATTTAAAAACATAAGACTCTTACATAGGAGAAATAAAATTTTGTAAAATAATTTATAAAAAGAAATTTCGCAATTTTTAATCGTTTTATTAATGCGAGAGTTTTGTTGAAATAGTTTGAATGGCTTGTCTTCATCGTTATGATTTTCGTCAAATATTTTTTAATTTTTTGAGAGGCAGGAGGTAAAAAGAACATTAAATATTTCGAAGAGATTGTAATTTTCGTCTGTATTTATTATATCGCATACTTGTGCATATCTTATAAGATTAATCACTCTTTAAATAATGTATAAATATATAATGTCAACTGTCAACTTGAAGAATCACTTTTATTTCAGATCGGGTGCCCAAGTGAACGGCGCCCAAACGCACAATCCTTATTATCAGCGCAATGTGCCCATCGACATTTTCAGTCGTACTCACGACACTATAAGCTACATTAGTCCGGAAAGAGCTCAGGCTGCGATGAACAATGTGCCCGTACCAATAGGCATGTTCATGAACATGGCGCATGTGCCGCCTCGTTTCTACAATCAGCATCAACAAGCACTGCAGGCGAGACAAAACCAGCGAATTCGTCGTAGTAGTAATATCAAGGGTGAGCACATTATTTTGGAATTTCCATAATATAATATTATTATTATTAAGAAATTAGCGGCTTTGCCGTTTTACATTATTTAAAACTACAAGCGGCATATTTTCTCTCTCTCTCTCTCTCTCTCTCTCTCTTTTATGTAATTTTGATCTAACTTCTAATCAAGAGAGATTGCAAGTTATTCGATTAAAAAGTTATTTTACGATATTTTTATATCAAATTATAGAGTTAATTGTATAAAAGATTGTAATATTTAATATCGGTATTTAATCGCTATCGATAAAATATGCCTTAATTGATCCACGCATAGAGTCGATTGACAAACTCGATTGACTATTGGTATTAGAATTTTTTCGCTTAATTAAATTGATGATGTGTGATGCATTTTTCTGCACTTACATGCATTAGGTAGCAACAAAGTGAATATGAATACAGGGCTGCGTGCGGGAAAACTTAGCCAGTCAGAGCAGAATACACAACCATACAGCCAGCCGGGATTGCTGTTGACGCAAGGCATAATGCAAGGAATGTCACAACCCGGGTTTAGTTTGTCACAACCTGGATTATCACAAGCGGAACTCTCGCAGGACTCATTCGCGGTGGGAGAGTTTCAGTCACAGATGGATGGACTTTTGTCGCAAGATTCGACTTATCAGGGTGACCGTAGTGGTGAGTTGTTTGTATCAATTTTAAAGAATGAAGGAGAGTGAAAATCTTGTAAATTAGTTGTTAATTACCATCGTCTAAAATAAAACTTCGACTGCTTTATTGTGATTGTTTATATTCATAATATTGACAAATACAGCCACTTTATATTGAAAATTCATATAATTTTTTTTTTTATATATTGTAGAAGGAAGTGCGTGTCATTATTTCTTTAATGCTAATTTGATAATCAAAAGGAACGTAACTTATTAAAGCATCAAGTTATAAGCGACAAAATGTGTCATTGTAGCTAATAATCATTAAGCTCAATAGAAGAATAATAATAATACAATGATAGCAATATATATATATATATATATATATATATATATTTTTTTTTTTTTTAAAGGTTTTTACCAATCAGGTCAGTCCCAAGCAGGAGGCCACTTCTCCCAGCCATATTGAGCCGAGTTAGTGCGGCTTAACAATGCATTGGCCATGCAGCAGTGTCGCGGGAGCGACTGAGAAGGCTCGTTCGATCAATTCTTCATCGACAACCAAACCAACAACCAGACCAAATCACTCTTTAACTGCGCGAAACGGTACAAACAACCAAAACTCAATGTGAGAGGGATGCACTACTCGATACAAAGACATCAACGAGAAACAACAACAATAGATGTGTCGGCGTGGATGAGAATAACAACAGTAACAACAGCTAGGGGCTGAAAACGTTCTCTCTTTTTTTATTACAAAAAGAAGAGCGCAATTAAGCTTTGATGGTGATTGCAAGAAGACCGTCCGATGATGAGAAAAGATAGATTCTTTTTCTGTTTCTGTTTACCTCGAAGAATGAAGATAAGGGAAGAATAAAATACGTCATAAATGCAAGAAACGAATAGCCGTTACACATAACACTGAGACCATGTTGATAAACGGTTGACGTTGGGATTGTAAACGAAAAGTTTTCGATTAAGTAAGAGGAAGTACGCAAGGGAAAAAAAACAAACGTATGACGAATAATAAAATAAATCATTCATAAAAATGACGCAATAGTAATAATGGGCGTGTCGAATTAATTTTTTCTTTTATGAAAGAGGAAATTATTCAAACATCAGCGTCTTATTTGGCACGTTTTAAGTAAAATCTAATGACATAATAATAATTTTCATGAACTTCGTTTGGTAAATTATATCTATACCTCGGAGGGGATATATAACATTTTTAAATGTTTGACAGGAAATTTCTTTTATTCGAATATTTCATTTTGTTTGTAAAGAAAAATTTTTCGTTATTTTTATTATATTCTATGGAATTCCGACGTTATAATGCTCCTAACGAAGTGATGAACTTTTAACGAATAACGAAAATCTCTAAACGCATAAAAAATCGTTTTTTTTTTTTTTTTGCCTAGACATAACTTATCAGTACAAGAGATTTTTAATTATTCCAATATATTACAGAAAATATAAATTTTTTTGTAACATTCAAGAAGTGAGAAAAGGCTCTCGCATTCTTGGTTTTAATTTTGTTTCTTTTATAGTGCCCAGTTTTTAGTGGGCAATAAGGAAATAATTCTTTTTTTAAAATGGTGAACTATTTTGTGTAATCGAAAATTTATTACTTCTTTTTATCCTGGAAAAGATGCATAAAATAAAGGTGTTTATCGTCATTTTTATAAGTCGGCACAGATAAATTGATATCTGACTAAAATGGTGATTTATTTTTCTCCAATTTTATTTCACGCTTCTTTCATATTTGTCTTTTTTCTTTTCGAACACCTATGCACCGCAACTGCAGATTATACAAGATATAAGAAAGATAAGAAAATTTATTGTAAGATCTTGTGGTACCAATAAATTAATTTGAAAATTAATCAGTGTGTCATTGAAAAAATTTCCATTATTAAATTATGTTTTTTTGCACATCCCCATATGAAAAATTCTTATAGAATTATTATATTCGTAGTTGCATTCACATAATAGAGTAAACAAATACATAAGAAATAATTTACTTTTAATGTTTATTTTAAGTAGTCATTTAAAATTTAATATATTTTTCTATTGTAAAGCCAAGACCTTATAATTTTTTACGTTTTTTGTTTATAAATAATTTGGAAATTTTATATTTGTTACCTTTTCTGTTTTCAACGATTAATATTATCCTAAAGATTTATTTTTCAAATAAAATTACGTTTATATAATAGGGATTTTTTTTTTAGTTTGTAACTTAATGCGTAAATGAATGAAGTAAATGTTATGTGACATCGTTAAAAATGAGAATGTATATTTTAAAAGATACAACTTATTCGTATTAATAATTTAGTAAAATTTTATGTTTTCTTTTCAGTTTCCAGTTGAAATTGCGCGTATTAAATTTCTTAGCATTAAATTGTATCTCCAAGATCAAATTCAAATCAACCTATTATAATTTAAAATTTCACTTAATAAAATCTTGCATATGAAAATTTAATAAATTATTTAATTTGTGTGTAGGATTTATCGGATTCTAAGGAAATTCTGAAAATAATTTAAGAATACTCTTGAGCTATAAATTTCTTGACCATAATTCTTAATGTTTACAAATTCTTGACATTTCGGAGCTGTAAAGGGCAGTTGACAAAACTGTAACTTAATAATCGATTCTTGGAACGCAGGAGAGGGGAGTTTGAACTTAAAATGAATCATGTAGTTTTTATGATTTTATTATATGTTAGATGTTATGTACATGTCCATTATTTATATTATGGGATACGTTATCTATATATATATATATATATATATATATAATTAAATATTGGGTTTAATGTTTTCCTGTATCAACGATTATGAATAAATTTTAAATAGACTTATTCGGCAATCAATTTTTATATTATTTCATCACTTTATAATATAAATATCTCTTCGTGTTTTATCGATCTCGTTAAAAAAGAAATAAAATAAAATATTGTAAAATTATAATACATGCAAATATATTTCATATATTTAGATCTTAAGTTATTGATATTTTTCTAAAATTCATTTTAAACAAAAAAAAAACAAAAAACAAAAAATAAATAAAAATACTTCGATAGTGTAGGGCAAACGAAAAATCGAAGGGATGAAATATATATTATTACCTTAAAATAAATTTTTGATTAATATTTTCCAAGATTATAATATGAATTGAGATGAAATTTTAGACTTTAATACGTGTGCTTTCACCGTACAAAGACACCTAATAACTGATGATTTTTTTTTTTTTTTTTTATTGCATACAGATTTTATGTAGAACTATTTCTGTTATTATTGCAATATCCTCGATGATGTTCGAATAAATATACATTGCATTTCTTCTTTAAAAGTTTTTACGTCAAAATCAACGTTGAAGTTATTAATAACTTGGATTTTTTTTAATTAGGGTAATGGCGTCTATTAAGCAGAAATGGCCAGGATGGTAACGAGTTTCATTTTTCATTTGAGATGTAACTTTAAGAATCCATAGCAAAAGGATTACCTCACTTTTAATAATCTAGTTGGTATTAATAGAATAAATGTAAATTAGTATATAAGAGACACATGTAGCAAAAAAACAGAAAAACAATAATGATGTGTACATTTAAACATGACATTTATTAAACAACAAAATAACTGTTACAAATTTGTGCTATTCAAATTATATTGTAATTTTATGGAAAAGTAATTAAAGATTTTGTTACAAAATATGTGGTACAATAAATCAATTGATCTAATAATAAATGATTTTACACTATTTTTCTTATATTGTTTTAGCATTTAAATTTATTAATTAACGTTGTAGCACTTTGCATATTACTTATATTGGAAAGGGTTAATTACAATAAATTTTTTTTCTTTCTTTCTTTCTTATTTTTTTTTTTTTTACAAAAAGTATCTAGTAATAAAGTATAACTGTTATATGGCACAGTAATCACAGACAAATTTCTTTTTATCATTAAATATTATATATAATATTCAATCACATATTTAAACTCTACTTTACACTTAATTAAATTTGCCTGTGTGACAGTTTTATAAATAAGAAAATCAAGACTTGTACAGTTTTGTAAAATAAATTTCAACAAATTTTTGAAAGCAATAAAGTCAGTGTTATCAAATTTCAAATTATTTAATATATTTAAAGGAAGACAACTGTTGTCACACAGGAAATTCCTTTTTTTTACTGGCCTTATGTTTTGTTACTGCTGTTCTCTCGAGATGAAAATTGAGAGATTAATAATACCTAAGGTCTTCGATTTTTACCTTTGTATTATGAGTCAGTAAGAGGATTGAACTGAATTGCTGAAAATCCTTCAGATTATTTATATATATATATATTTTTATTTTTTTTTCTCTCCTAATTGTGATATTTTAAAGAAATTTGCTTTCAAGTAGTTTATTGCATTAATTAGTATATTTGAACTTATTTTCAATGTTAAATTATTCTTATTTACTTGAAAGTTTCTAATTATGTAAATATTTAGAAATTAAGGTAATACAAAATGTGCAGAATGCTTCATTAATAATATCCCACAAAATTATACATTTAAATTATTAAACCAAAATAATGTATTATCAACAATTGTATTTGGTTTTAAAATAAAATAATAGTATCTTATAATTTGTCAGTCATTTTCAACAATTCAGTTTATGCTATAACATGAATTATCCGTAATACCATAATTAACTTTAACAAAAATAATTAGAAAATCAAAATGTGCAAAAAGATAATTTTTTTAATCTCCACGTAAATAATAAAGTTTACATCAGTTACTAATAATTTTGCTAAAGTAACGATATTCGGAACGTTTCATAATGAATAAATAATAATCGCAGATATAACTTTGATTAAATATTAAATATTGAATTGCAATTTTATCACTTTAGATAATTTCGTTTAATTTTAGAGAATCGCAAAAAAAAGATTGAAAAATCTATACGTAAATATTCAAATATCTGCGAGTTTCTTATTATTTTTTTTTTCTCCAATTTATATAATATAAGTTTTTTTATTTACAAAATGTTATTTTTAATTGATTTTAAATAAATGTTTAATCGACGTAGGTATTGTACTATCATTAAATATTAATCAATTTAGAAATTATTCGATTACTTGTATACTTCGTATAAATATTACATTTACGATCTAATCATTCAAATATTTTTTTTGGTAATTTTTAAATTTATTTTAAGTTTGTTTAATTGAGATTTCAGATTTTTAATTTTTTTTTTTTTTCAATATTTTTTCTAAATAATTACAAGTTTTAAGTCAAATTTTCTAACAAGAAAACATAACGTGTTTCCTATATGTTTGACCATAAGTTATTTATAAAAAAAAATTGAAATTTTTATGATCAAACTACGAAATATGTTTGCAATACCTTTAGCAACATATTTCAGTTAATTGCTTCTGTTCCTGCTAGCATTCTAATTTTCGATTCAAAATTGGTACTGTGAGTCTTCCTGACGTTTTAAATTAATTACTAATTGAGTTATATAATTTTCTCAATTCATTTTTTTATTTTTGCTTTCTATTTTATTTTTTTTTTTTTTTTTTTTTTTAATGTCACAGTTTGATTTTTTTTAAATAAATTTCTTGACAATTGCATTTGAGATTTGTCGTTGTCCGCATTTATTCCAACGATTTTCGATACAATCTCGTTTTATTGAGGCCACTTTATTGCACTTAGTACGCACAAACTTTGATTTAAAAGAATATTTTTCAATAATTTCATACTTCGTACTTTCATGGCGTAATTTCAGCCTTTCTCCTTCCACACAATATATAATCATTTTGAGTAAAGTTGAAAAAATACATTGTAAATATGGTGTATAATAAAATAATCTCTGGACCGTGAAAAGTATTAATGGTCCCTTCATAACGATATAATAATATCGGACTTGTAGTTTTCCCTCAACTGCATATTTTTAGCCTTCTTGTACTTTCAATTACGTTGTTAGGCTTTTTGGAGAAAATTCTCCTCGATCTAGTTTCATATAAAATAAATTATAGTAAGCTTTCATATATATATTTGACAATAGTCGTGACCACGTTTTCGTGGGTGAGAAACTATCTCATCACAGATTATTCTCCAACCTCGTAAATATACTATTTAGATTATTACTCTTCTTTAATCGCTGATGCGTTTGTTTAAAGATTTCTTTAATCATCTGGAAAATCGCTAAGTCATAAACTGATCTTGCCGTATTAGTGAAATCAAATGGTTCTAAAATAAAATAATTTCAATGATTTTTTTTTTGTATTGTACATTATAATTTAAAGCTATAATTAAAATTATATCTTAATTGATAATGCGCTATTTTAAATTTAATCAAGTCTAAAAAATTATTCGAAATTTTCGAAACACATAGTTTAATTCAACAACTTGTATATTATTATGGTACAATTTTTGAAACTACAATACTTTTCCTGAAAAGTAAAAGTTAATTTAAAAATTCAGTCTAAATTAATTGTAAAAGTGAGTCATCTTGTTAACTATATTATTTATATCGGCGAGATGTATCAAAATATTTAATAATAATTTATTTCAGATTATGAATTACCTTCTATGCATAGATACTTCCATTGATGTGGATCATTCTTAAAGGATCGAACATACCTGCATGTTTCGATAGGAATCTTACCAGCTACGCGTACTGAGATTGCATACAGATCATAACTAAAATATATTAAAAAAAAAAAAAAAAAAAAAAAAAAAAAAAAAAAA